GGACAAACCAAACACTGGTTAAAGATGGGACTTTTTCGCTTCACCGTAGTTTCGAGATAATTTCCCCTCCTCTGACATCTAAAAATAATAAAAGTGAAAGTGAAATAACTTATATTTTAAAACAATAGCAATAACAGGTTTTTGGGCCACTTTAGGGCGGAAACACACACCATCGATATATTATCACCTTTTTTTGCTCTGGTTTGGCCTCCACCAACTCCTGAGGAAAATATCTGGTTCTTTAGCTGCTAAATGCTACACTATGTTCACCAGCTCGATGCTAATTTGTCTGTTTTCCATTGGTCGTGGAAGTGCAGTGCAGTGCAGTGCAGTGGGTTTATTAGAGCTTTTTTGCTGTAAAGAGACTGTTAGCTTAGCTTTTCGGTTTTGGTGAGGATTAAATAAACAAGATATGTGTCATAGTGAACTATAGAGTTTTGTTACCTTTGGGCAGAGCCAGGCGAGCCATTTCCCCCTATTTCTAGTCTTTATGCTAAGCTAAACTAACTCCTGGCTGTAGCTTTATATTTAGTGCACAGGAACAATTCACTCATTTAGCTCTTAACAAGTTAATAAGTGTGTTAAACCATTCCTTTAAAATAAAGTAAAATACCACACAGTTTCACCTCTTCAGGTCTCTAACATTTTTTTAAATAAACATATTTTTGGGAGTCCCAAAGGATGGAAAGGATGGAAACCACTAGTTTAAATCACTCTCTCTTCTTTTCTACCTCCATCTTGAAGCATACATCCAGGTGTGTCGGGGTCTGATGATTGCCGCCGTATGTCTGGGTTTCTTTGGTGCCACCCTCGCCTTGATAGGAATGAAGTGCACGAAAATAGGAGGCTCGGAGACCACCAAGGCTCGTCTGACCGTCCTCTCGGGCTTCCACTTCATTCTCAGCGGTAAAACCTATGCTGCTTACCTTCCTCTCTGTCTGGATTTATGGGGGATGTAATATTTGAGCTGCGGTTTAGGAAGCTATCCCACTTTTAAATTAATTCCTCTTTAAGTAAATTACATTATCAGCTCTTTCTGCTTTGATTTTCATTCAGAATTTGAAGTAGAAATTCTCTTTATTTCTCTCTGAAGGCCTTTGCTCCATGATTGCATGCTCCATATATGCTCACAGGATCACAACAGACTTCTTTGACCCCCTCTTTGTTGCCCAGAAGTAAGTATTCAGGATTAAAAGACAGATTTGTCTGACAGCAGATCAAAACTGAACTCAGATGAAAGGAATTCCAGTCCTAAATTTCTTTTTTCACCCACTTCAATGTGTCAGGTTCGAACTGGGAGCAGCTCTCTTCATTGGCTGGGCTGGATCTGTGCTGTGCATCCTCGGAGGACTTATCTTCTGTCTCTCCCTGTCTGAAGGCTTTAGTATCAGGCAAGTGGCTTTGTTTTTTCCGACATGCTGGATGCTAACAATGTGATCCCACATCTGTCATCAGCAACACGGGCTTAGAGGAAATCTGATTTGGACAGACTCTAAACTGTGCCGAGTTGCTTTAACTCAAACAGGCAATTTAAATAATTACTTTTACTGCAATGGAGAGACGTTACAGTTGAAAACATCCAGTAATCTCTCTCAACATCTTGTCTCATAATTGCTGAACCTACAAGGCAAATTGTATGATCGTCATTTTGATTAGTTATGCGGCCGTTGACGGCTGAATGTTTCCTTTGTTAAAGTCGAGTAATAAGGACCTTTTGGAAGTGAAAGTCACCTTGACTGAGGGCACCTTTAGGGAAGTGTTGCATCAGGCGAAGAACATAGCATATCCTTATATTGTGGATGAAGCGAGAAAGCTGAGAAGAACACAAATTATGGAAGATAAAGATACAAATTCAGCAGGAATTACCACTTTGTCATGGCAGCCATCCTTTATTTTTAGATTGTTAGAGGCCAGAGGAGGTCAAAGAATCTAGTATTTCACAAGGAAAAAGCTTTCAAGGACCAGGGTGTAAGATTTAGTGGCATCTAGTGGTGAGATTGTAGATTGCAACAAACTAGAACCCCTTGAAGTGCAAAAGAGAAACTACAGTGGTCATGAAACGCTTAAACATGAACTAGAGCCAGTGTTTGGTTTGTCTGTTCTGGGCTACTGTAGAAACTCAGCTCAACACAACTGCCTCCTGTAGATAAACACAGGTCATTGTAAGGTAACAAAAACACCAAGATTCTCATTTTCAGGAGATGAAAACATACCTATGAATATTTTATTCAATTTCTGCCATTAGAGAGGCATGTGCTAATTACCAAATGTTAGCATCCTGACAAAAAGACAAACATTGGTAAAGATCATACCTTCTAAACATCATCGTTAGTTATTAGTATTTAGTTGTGGCTAAGTACGCATGTTAACATGGCTGTAAACTCTTGTTATACTGTCGATCTAGTTAGAAAGCTTAGAGGAATAGAGAGGAGGAAAGATATGAATAAAAATTAAGCAAGTTTTGGTGCCAGAAATTCTTAAATCTGCATTCATATTTAAGTTACTTTGAGAGAAATGATGTTAGCATACTGTTTTGCAGGTTTTATTCATCATCTACAGACAACCTGAATTCTTGTTAAGTCAAATGTCAAAGGGTGCTTGATTGAAATAGGGATCAAAACGTACAGTTTTGTTTTTAATTCAGGGCTTTTTTAAATTCTTGCAGAGCTGAATACTCCTACAGTGGAGCGGCATCGTTTGTGACAGCCCGCAACAAGCACAGCAAGACAGTCAACAGCCTCCGCAAGGAACCACGAGAGCCATCGAGACAGTTTGGAAGAAATGCCTACGTGTGAAATCAAACTCTATCTTGTTGTCACGTGACTTGATTGTGGATCGTAATAGTTTGTGGTCATCAGAAACTATTTCACCAGTAGAAAGCGGATTCCTCTTTAAATTTGGCTGCTTTTTGGGACTTTTCTGTCAATGGCCCGTACGTAAAAGATAAGCTTGTTTTTCTTTTAGGGCAGGAAATTTGATTTGGCACAAAACACTGTTCAAAATCTCCGGTCACCTTCAACAAGCTGGCCCCTCCTGCCTGTCTCACATAGACTGGACACATATTAAATCTCTTTTATAATTCCAGAGTCAAGGGCCAATTGGACATTGGTATTTAAAGGAGTCTGTTATAGATTTTAAAGCATTTTTTTGGCATTTTGTCCCCATAAAAACTAGAGGATGTCACACAGATTCTGTTCTCTGAATAATATGGTGTTGTAAATTAATTAAACAAGATTTTTTTTATTTTTCCATTTAAATTGATCATTTTAAGCAGGTTTTCATAGGATTACAATTTCTTTTTTAATTACAATATATAAAAAATACAGGTTGACTACTTTTTAAAACCTGAGTAGCTATGATGTAACAGTTAATCTTCTCACGTTGCATCAGTTAATATTTCTCAAACAGAAATGGATCATGTGATCTTTCTCGTTTTCTTGGTCTACACTGATCTGACCTCCGAGGGTCACTAGGTCACATCTGCCGAGCTGGAGGCCCGACCGGAGGTTTGCCCTCCTATCAGCCATCCATCTCCACCTAGGAATTATTATCAATAGGAACCCCAGGCTATGTTACGCAAAACCTCTTGGCCCAGAGGTTGGATACTTAAACCAGCTGGCAGAGAGCGGTTGCCCTGTGCCTTCCGGCGGCTTGCATCAGTAAACAAGTGTCAGGTGTCCTGGTATAATGGTGGTATTGTCTGATGTCTACGTTACATATAGGGATGTTAAAACCTCAAACGTAAAGCATCAAACTCCTGCTAGCTTCTTAAATGATTTTCTGTTGACAGAAAAGGTTGTTGTGGGCTATAAAGCAAATACAATTTTGTGTAAGTGTTTTAAATATCATCTGTTCATTTCTAAATTGTCTCTGGTACGTCTTTGGTGTATACTGAGGTTCTTAAACATCCTACCTGTAAAATAAAATGATATAAACTGTGCAGTGCCTTTAAGTGTTCCTCTTAAAGTGGCTTCTATCCTAGGGGTTCGGGACCCCCATGAGGGCTCACAAAATGAATTTAAGTATTACAGATTCTATTACACCAAATTATTATTATTATATAATACTTTTTTCTTGTAAAATACTGTAAAGTTTGTGTGGTAGGGCGTAGGTTGCTGTGAGTTAAAAGCTTATATTAAAAGCATGTAGATGTTTAGCAGGTATAATATTTAAACTGTTTATCGGCTTAGTTCAGGGTGTTAGGATGCCAACATCTGCCAATTAACACTAAACACAAAGTCACAAACCAAACAAATGAAAAGTTTGACCTGATGATGAAGCTAAAGGAAAAGTAATTTAAAAGTAAAGTAAAAGCATTTTGTGAAGCAAAAACGTTTGGGAACCACTCACCTATTCATTGACCTCTGATGGGAGAGAGGTCATTGCAGCAGCTGAGTCCCTCCATCCATTACTGCAATCACACCAGCAGAGAGCAGTATTAATGCACATTTAATGGTTGATAGATCAGAGGAAACTTCACAATATACTATACTACTACATTCTACTTAATAATAATACAGATGTTAATCGTGTCCTCAAGAGACCACATGATCAAAATATAGCAACAACTTTGGTGTGTTATTTGTGTGTTTTCTTGGTTGTTGTTGCAGCTTTTTTTAAAGCGTGCTCAGCTCAGCTCAGCTCAGCTCACATTCCTTCTTTTTTTTTTGTGCCGTGCTAATTAAAGCTAATTAAATCCAGCCTCAGCAAGCAAATTAAGGCTAATCCGGCGGTCCACCATTTCCAATATCTCCCTACCACTACCAATAACTTTGTCATAAGCCGAGAGGACGCAGAAACAAAGAGGAGCTCTTTCATACCCGCCGAACATTCATCACTCCCCCTAACTCTCATTACCTCAGATTTAACTCTAATTATAACAGCACAAAAGACGTTGTGCTGTAATTATTAGACCCACAGCACAGCGAGGTCTTGGTAAAATTACTAATAACCAGCAGCTTAAAGCCTGAGGCAGAGTCGGGGATGATGCTCAGGTCATAGCAGCAGTATTATTACAGATTTAACAGAACATGCAAAAGGTCATTAATGCAATGTACTCTGGTTTTGTATCAGTTGTATATATATACATACATATGTGCAAGTGAACTGAGAGATATTTCTGATTCATCATTCAATTTTAAGGCAATTTAAAGGGGCATTACACCAATTTTACACAGGAAGTTCAGTTTACCTGTCACAAGGAGTTTTATTCACCCTGTGAAAACTGTTAAATTTAATTTAATATAAAATCCCTCTGTTCTCTTTCTGTAGAAAATTATATATTTTTTTCTTGAACTGGTGTACACGTACTGTAAATGAGAGAGCAGGATAAACAGAAGTATTAAGCAGCCATGGTGTCAGCAAAGGTCCATGTACAGATTCATTTGAGAGTATATTCGAGCCTTTAATCTAAGTGCATTACAAAATTGCTGGAATACCTCTTTAATTTGGCTTTTACTCATATTCCTTTTTTCCACCTAAGTTTAAAAAATGTCTGGTCTTCAAGATCAATTTGCCTATAGTATGTTATTAATTTAGAGTACCAGTGATTGCAGGGTAATTTAACAACATTGTTTGAAGAAAGCTAAATCATTTACTATGTATTATGATTTATGGAGAGATGTAAACTGTGTCTGCACATCAGGGAATTTTCAGAACAGTCAGATGGGGGCAAGAAGGGGTAATTTGAGATAAATGCTGAGGTGAGCACTCTCGGTCCAGATTCAACAGTGGCCCATGGGAACCTGACTGACTGTTGTCTCTCACCCAGATGTAAAATAATACCAAGACAACAACAGCACATCCCTGTTTTTTACCTGTGGTGTACTCGTCCTCTCCTTTTTCTGAGAAGAGCAACTGCGTATAAGGATCTGTTTTGGATGAAAAGTCGACGTTCAGCTCAGGATGCAGACATTTTCTGAGTACGGGACTGTAATTTGAAGACAGAACAGAAAGGAAAAGCATTAAAACTGTACTGTGGCTGTTCAACAGAAGCTAAACAGGAGTTAAACTTTCAGCAGAGATGAAGATTCGTGTGGTCCAGATCTGGGGTTTCCTGATGACAGTTTTGGGCTGGATCTTCGTGGCCTGCACCATGGCCATGGAGGGCTGGAAGATCACCTCGATCGGGGGCATGGGGGGCTCCTCCGTAATCAAGGTGGCCTGGTACTGGTCCAGCCTGTGGAGATCCTGTTTTACAGACTCAACTGCCGTCAGCAACTGCTACGATTTCCCCATGCTCTGGTCTGTGGAGGGTAGGTGACACATCATCCACCCCATATAACGAAACCAGGGTCTCAGCTATTCAGTCATGAGCTCACGCTGACATCTACACTGTATTTGTGTCTCTCTGTGTGACTCCAGGCTACATCCAGATAGTGCGAGGCCTGCTGATGGCAGGTCTTTCCCTGGGCATGCTGGGGTTTGTGCTCAGCCTGCTGGGGATGGAGTGCACCTTCATTGGGGGAAAAGACCGGTCAAAGTACAAGAAGATCTACGCTGGCGGGTGGTGCCACGTAATCAGCGGTAATGTCTAGTTTTTAAGTAGGAGGACAGTCAGATGTATGTACAAGGTGTGCATGTAAAGAAGAAGATGTGCATTAAAAAAGGCCCCATGATTAGGCTATCATTTTATTATTTATTTTAGACCAGACAGTTTCATTCAACTTGAATGAACGACTTAAAATCATCTAATCCGGCCTCTGAACAAAGCTGAAATAACTTTTTAATTATCTGCACATTCTGCTGGATGTCTGTGTGTCTGTGTGCCTACACGCAGTAAAACTTGATTTAATTTTTCCTTGTTGTTGTTTAAGGATCTGTGTGATTTGACACAGAAGATTATTTTGGTAATTCAACTGGGGAGATTTATCAGGAGAAATGTACATTAGCTATGTTGGAAAACATATGAAATAGATTTTGCTAACAATGTGAAAGTTAATATGTAGGGAAAGACGCCCCCTAGTGGTTTGGTGTAAAATGTCCCTAAACCACTTACCCAACATTTAGCAGCATGGCTTGAGGGATGGCAAAGACTTGGTCCATCAGATTTAGGACTGAACTTTCATTCCACTACTTTATGACCAAAAACTAATAACATTACTCTCTATTTTGTATTTAGTGCTAATCAGTCATCAGTTGTTTTTCCTTGTCTCTCAACATTTCCCTTCAGGTTTTCTGACCATATGTGGGTATGCTGTTTATGCACAATACGTCTCTGTAGATTACTTCAACGCTACCTTTGATGGACTAAAGTAAGTTAACAGGCTCATATATAACCATTTAACCTGCAGAAAGACTTAAATAAAACACAAATCTCTGAATATGACTCTCACAGTCTCTCTGTTTCAACACCAACAGGTTTGACCTCGGCACCCCGCTGTTCCTCGGCTGGGTCGGCTCCGTCTTTCACATGACTGGTGGTTTCTTCTACCTGTGGTCGGTGTGTAAGCCGCTCTGTGGAGGAGAGGAAACGTGAGTACAGACACATGTTGTTGTTGTTGTTGTTGCATGTCAGGGGAAGTGAATAAATAACTCCACTCCCCACTTCCTCAATAAATACCAGCGTCCTGTGTGTTCAACTGGAATGACTTATTATCCAGAATGTACTGAGCAAAGTGCAGATGTTCATTGTGGGTACACTCCCTCGCCCCATGTAATATAACCCTAAACACATTGGTGTAAACAAAGACGTCTGGTGTTTTAAAAGCTTTTCTGATTACATGAGGAAATAAACTGCAGGCCACAGCAGCTCAAATGTAAGTGTGTTTTTTAAGTAAGAGGTTCAGTAGCATGTGTGTGTCTCTCTCTGCAGGGTAATTCTTGTCCAGCCACAACCAGATCTTGAGAAAAACAAGTCCACCACAGCTCTGTCCACAGTGACCGAGATCAGCTCCGAGACCAAAGTGTCTTCCATTTCCGAGCTGTCGTCCAAGTCCGAGCGCTCAGACGTGTCCGGCATTTCCTCGAGATCAGAACGCACATCCAGATCTGGACGCATGGCCAAGTCAGGGCGGTCATTGAAGACAGGGCGAACCATCAGGTCTGCAGGGTCGAGGTCAGGGTCGGAGACGGAGTCCAGCCTCTCGTCGAGGTCCAGCGTGTCAACGTCGTCCGGGTCGAGCAGCAGCAGCAGCAGCGGCGGCAGTCGCACAGTTTCGACGCTGTCAGGCAGTTCGAGGAGCGAGACGACACCGGTCCTCAAAAGCTCGTATATCTGAATAAATGAGATGGACAAATGTTAATAAATGTGATGGACAGATGACCTGATGCTTTCTTATTCAATGTATTACTCAATTGTAAACGCTAATTCAGTGATGTGTGTTTTGTATTAATAAAAAATGACAAATCCTTGATTTGTGTACAATTCTTGCTGCCTGTTACATACATTAAATGTAACACATAACTAAGGGCACATTAAGTATCTAATAGTCCTGTCAGCCTTTGTGTCGCCCTTTAGACAATAAATAAAGCTCTGGTTGACAGTAAACACTGTCTGCTCTGCTGTCATTCAAACCTTCACACATATACACAAGCAACCGCTCTGAGAGGACTGAAACTCTACAGTTTTAATCTGAAGCAAAACCTGTGTGTGTGTCTTCTTGAATTACTGGTGGACTACTTCTTACAAAGTAGAAAGGAATTAAAGACGTTTACTGGCTCTTCTTTTCCAGTTGAACTGAAGTTTTCTCACCATTAGCTAGAGGCCGCTAACTTCATAAACACAGTGAAACATCTCTTAGTGAAGACTCTTCTATTTACCAGACTGAGAGGATGTGGAGGAGACTGGCTCAGATCCTGGGTCTGCTGCTCTGCATACTGGGCTGGGGCTTTGTGGGCTGCACCCTGGCTATGGACCACTGGAGGTAAGCGAATAAGAGTTAGAGGAAACTTGATGCACTTAAGCTTAGTCAACTGTAGACAGAAAGTGAGGATAATAGTTTCAATTTTAAAATAAATCTAAGAATTGTCCCAAATTCTCAAACTATTCTTTTAACGCACTTTCATCTCTGTCCAGTAAATATGATGCTCGAGCCATGAGATGGTTAGCGTAGCTTACCATAAATACTGAATACAGGGAGATAGAGCTAGCCTGCCCAAAGGTGACAAAACCTACCCATCAGCACCTCTAAACTTCACCATTTCATGTATTTTCTCACTGGAGGGTGGCCCAGCTGGGGGGTCAAGGGGGCTCTTCTGTGGTGGTGACAGCCTGGTACTGGTCCGACCTGTGGAAGGACTGCTATGAAGACTCCACTGCTCTGGTGAACTGTGTAGACTTCGGGGTGCTGTGGGCAGTCAAATGTGGGTACAAATGTAAAAGAAAAAGTCATTCACAGATTATCTGAGCCATTTATGACACAGTTGTGTGTCTGTTCTCAGCACACATCCAGGCAGTCAGGGGGCTCCTGATGTTCGGCCTGTGCCTCGGCTTGGTGGCCACAGTGCTCACTTTTTTCGGACTCGAGTGCACGCACATCGGTGGCGACCGGAGAAGTGACGACAGGATGTTGATAACGGCGTCTGCTCTCCACCTGGTCGGCTGTGAGTGCGACTCGTTTGCATTGACATAACCTCAGCAGCTTCTCAGAACATCCACTCACTGGTTCGTCTCGTTCTGTTTTTCCACGTGTCATCGGCTTTCTTGTCATGCAGGCGTATCAGACGTGGCTGCTTACTGCTTATACATAAACAGAGTGGCTGCGGCTTTTTTACACAGCAAAGCAGATCCATCAAAACTGAGGTGATGTGGCTTCTGGATAACCCTCATTAGTAGGTAGATGTGAGTAAATACAAGGCAGAAGCCAATTTTAACTGTTATCTCCTCAGCTATGAAATTGGACCACCCCTGTACCTCGGCCTGGTGGGGAGTTTCCTCATTGTACTTGGCTGTACAGTTCACTGCACAACTGCATGCAGAGTTAACCATCCAAAAAGGTTTGTTAAAGCATTTAACGGAGTGGTTTCACCTTTCTGGAAAGAGCCTGTAGATTTTAATCTAAAGTAGTTGCTATTTCTATCCAAATACTCACTCATATACCCTGTTACTGTTGTTTCTGACTGGATACAATACTCTCTCTGCAGCACACATCCTGTGGATCCCTTTATCTGTGAAAAAGGAGGAAGAAAAGAAGTCTTACGAGGACAAAAACACATCTGTGAACTGTCAAAAAGCTCATATGACTCCAGACACGTCTATACCTACAAGATCACTTCTGTTGTGAATGTGTGACACTACAGATTCATTCATCAATAAATAAATTACTATATATGTATATTTATTATTATTATTTAATACCTTTTGTCTAAAAACACGTCCATTTAAAGATAATATTGGATGTAAACAATTTCAGAATATGCTTTAAACACAATACTACTGTTGTACTAATGTACACTATTATAAGGTCTTGTGCAAAAATATCAATATGAATAAATATGTATATACAAAATAAACTATGGTTTCCATCCGCTTTCATTATTTTTCTAACTTTACATAGTGTGCTTGTTTATAAGTTGCTCTGGAGCTAAAGAACCAAATTAATATTGTTTCATCAGCTTTAAAACTACTTATTTTGCTTTTCTATTTTTCCTTTCCTATTTGGTGTAATCATAATGCGTTATGGCCATTACTGTAATTTGTCCCCTTCACCAAATAAAGAAGCCCAGTTTGTGTCAATGGGAAAAGATTACCATTTCGATACTTTTCTACAATTTGGGTTTAAATGAGATCAATAAATAAAACACTTAAAAACAATTGATTTTGCAACAATGAGGAAGTAAAATAAACCATAATGGTTGACTACAATGGTATCATGATACCATAGCAATACGTAATCCTTCATTAGTGCTGGGAACAGGAAGGATGCTTACTGGGAAAAACCATCTAAAAGATAAGATGAGACAGAAGCCAAACATCCACACTGCTGGTCTGACACCTCAGCAATGACATAGAGGCCGAGCTCAGTCCGGTTTCCCACAGTGAGAAGTTGTTCAAACTTTGACGTTACTCTCTAAATTTAACAGCTCTTGATAGTTTTTTTTTTTTATTGTTTGCGGAGCAGCACTCACCATGAAGTACAGGGCGGTGGTGATGTACATGGAGATCGGCTGCTTCGTGTCCTGCCTGTGCGGCTGGATCCTGGTGTGTTCCACTCTTCCCACAGAGTACTGGACTTTCTCCGAGGCGGCCAGCGTCGTGCTGACCACCTCCAACTACTACTCCAACCTGTGGAGGGACTGCATCTCTGACACCACGGGGGTGTCCGACTGCAAGGATTACCCTTCCATGCTGGCCCTGCCTGGTAGGAAATGTGAAATCTTTTTTATTTAGCTTTAAAAGTGGAAAAGATTCAGGGACTGTATGAAAATGATTGGGGTGGGGAGGGGGGCTGAATCATGTATTAGATAATTTTTTTAAAACAAGCCCCAAAACTCAGACTACCCTCCCTTTAACAAAAGGAATAAATACCTTTTCCTTTCTCTGCCTCCCCCTCTAATAATTTTCAGACCTTCCCTAAGGGGGCTCCAGTTTAGAGGGTTGCAGTGATAAAAACTTTCCTGTTTTAGACCAATCAGAGTTTAAATGAAAGTGTTTCACCTGTTTCAGTGTTCCTACACGCCTGCAGGGCGCTCGCTATCTGTGCCGTCATCACTGGTTTCTTCGGAGGCGTCCTTACACTTGTAGGGATGAAGTGCACTAAAATAGGAGGGTCAGAGATTGCCAACTCAAGGGTGACCTTTGCAGGCGGTATAACCTACCTGGTTTCAGGTAAAATATGATTTTTATGTTATTGATTATTAACCTTGTCTAAATGTTTTGCACTCCTGATGTTTAAACTAATGTGTATTTGCTGACAGGATTCTGTGGTATGATCACCTACTCATGGTGGGCCAACAAAGTCATATCAGAATTCGTGGATCCAAATTTCAGGGCACAGAAGTGAGTACTTATTACGATTATTATTACCTGTAAGTGATATTTAAGAATAAACTCTTGATATACCTCAATACTTGCTGTTCAGATTTGAACTTGGAGCGGCAGTTTTCATTGGCTGGGGAGGCTCCATCCTTCTCCTCGCTGGAGGGACGGTGCTGACTTACTTCTCTGGAAAAGAAGGTCTACCATCAAGGTCAATATGAAACTTATATTTCACTTTAACTGTTGTATTGCCTTTATTGTGTGTGCATCTCCTGTATGTTGGACCATATCAAAGTAGAAAACCAGTAACAGCACTTCACCATCTGTGTCCAACTATGTCCACAGTTCTTCAAACGTGCCACGGAAAGCAGCCACTTACGCCACCGCCCGGACCCGACGGACCTACATGCTGCCGGCCACGTCGTCCAGGGTGACTCTGGCGCCACCGTTGTTCTATGAAGGCAGGACGAGCCGAACAACCGGAGCGACAAGGAAGACCGGTCAAACCTTCAGCAGGGACAGCTTTGTATGAGCTGTGAAAGGGACTTCAAGGACTTTAAAGGAATAGTTTGACATTGGGAAAAACACTAATCTGTTTTCTTGCTGAGAATGAGATGAGAAGATCAATACCACTCTCGTGTCTGCATGTTCAATGTGGAGCTGGAGAGAGCGGTCAGAGGGAAACAAAATCAGATCATTTACACTTCTAAAGTTCACTGATTTATATGTTACATCTTGTTTGTTTGATCAGTACAAAAAAAACAAAGTGTAAAAATACACGTGGGACTATTTTTTGGTGGGAAACTCTTGGTGGACCACCGACAAAGCGAGGGTCAGATGGCTGATTGAACAAAACATTTATTAATTACTGAGCTTTAGAGGTGCTGCTAGGGGAGTTTTGTTCAGGTCAGACAACTGTTTACCCCTATGTGCAGTTTTTATGCTAAGCTAAGCTGCTGGCTCCAGCTTCATATTCAGCACACAGACATGAGAGTGGTATCAATCTTCTCATCTAGCTTCAGGCGTTTGTATATATAGCCGTTTCTTGTCTTTCATCAGGGAGCGTCCACTGTCTATTGACCCTTTGATTGGTTCCTGTCTGTCTGCAAGCTGAAACATTCAGTATAAAAAGAAGAAAACATTAATCTCTTCCAACTAGATAGCATCAAAGCACTTTGCGCTTTAAGCACTTTAAGCTCAGGTTGCTGTGGAGTCTGAGGTCTATTGATTAGTCTTGTGACTTATAGATAACCACAGATATACAAAACAATTACCACCATCTCTTTAAAAATGCTATATTTATTTCTAGGGGATTCAGGATATTTCTATATAATATAAATGATCATAAATATAAACCATATCATATTGCAACCATCTTTTCAGGAGCCATCAATGGGAGAAATTCAAAAACACAACACACTCAAATCTCTTCAGTCTCTTCATATTTATGGATAATTGGAAATAATTTCAAAGTTAAATGTTTGTGAAGAATGTTTTTTAACACTTAAACCTAATTAAGCCTTTATTAGGTTTTCCTTTTGAAACAAGCCCTCCCTTTGTATTCTTTCAGTTTTCTTGGTGGCTTCATACACACAGTAGTCTGTCCTCTGCACCTGAACTTCTTCAGAGTCGCCAGAAGATGGCGCTCAAAATCAGACAAACCACTGCTGATGTTTCGTACATTTCGGTGGGGATCTATAACTCACTGATCAATGCTCAACCTCAAATACCGACCTGATGAAGGCAAGGCAGCTGAAATGGTTCAATAAAGCAGGGTGAACTAGAGAGGAGTTGTACAGAGAGAGACGTGGCTCAGGTGTACCTCTGCCTTAAAATAGAATACATTTATGTCTTTGACAGCACTGACAGCTCTCCTATCGACGCCTGCCAGCTCTCTGCACAAGAGCCAGTCACGTTCAACGAGGCCAGCGCTGTCAGAACAGGAAACCGTCACAGCTGTCGCTCCCCATGAAAACCCAGTTCATCATATTACAAATCAGTTTCATGGCTGAGTTAGCCGGTGGGAAGGAAGCTCTCACATTGAGGATTTTATGTCTGCTGTCCCACCGCATGACTAATGACAGCTACTAGTAATTAATCACACTCACAGGAGGTGGCAGAAGTATTCAAATAATTGACTTATGTAAAAGAAGCAAAACCACACTATAGAAATACTCTTTGACTTAAAGGTCCAACATTCAGGAGGCAGAATTTAATATTCACAGATGTGTTTTCATTAGTGAATAATCTCTTGAAACTTGCAGAAGTTCAGTCAGATAAATATAATTAATGTATTTATATGTAAGGTGAACTTTAATGTTGTAGTTGAGGTGAAGGTGCAGCTAATATTAACTACATCATTCACTGTAGGTTCATCTCTAACAATACATCATGTTTTATAAACTGCTCATTGTCTCAAATCTTAAATCTGAAAAGTAACTAAAGCTATTCAATAATTGCAGTGAAGTTAAAAGGACAATACCTTCTTCTGAACTGTAGTGAAGTAGAAGTATGAAGCGGCTTGAGACGAAAATACTCAAGTAAAGAACAAGTTACCTCAAATTAGTAATTAAGTGCAGAGTAAATGCACCATTGCTCATATTTGATCACCCATAAATATAGTCTGCATGTCCGATTCTCCGTTTACCGTACATTCAGTACCACTGGGGGTGAGGACCAACATCTGAGTGAATAATTCTGTGGTGTTTCTGCATCCTGTTTATTTAGGAATTGTTTTGTGGCTTGAATTGTGTACAACAATTTAACTTAAAATGCTCAAAGTCTATTTGATATATCATTTTATACATTTAAATCAGTGGAAGAAGTGTAGAATGTGAAGAAAGCATTCCCATTTATCCTGAATTTTGTCTTTTAAACAGAACTTTATTCGTCTGAAGAACAGACACGTGTCTTTATTGTTTTGTTTTTTAACATAAGGTCTGCAGACCTGATAACTGTATGAAGTCTTGCGTGGCTGGAAATGTGAATCATTTTATTAGACCAAAGCTTGGAGGTGTGAAGAAAGCTATAAAGAACAAGAAGAAAACAAAATAATGTGAACAATGTGTAATAAATCAATTCTTTGGTTATTTGTGTTTGGTTGAAGATAGAAAGAACATTGAGGACATGTGCCTGGATTGTCAACAAGTACGCACAGAGAAATCTTTTATTGCTTGTATAAATATTTTCTATACAAAAATCACATCTCGTTGCTCCGTTTAACACATGAAGGAATTATAAAATTTGATGTACAAAATCTTACACAAGCTACATACGGCGTCTCATTTAGAGTGCGGGTTATATTTCATTGAAAATACAAAACAGAATCTATTTCAGGTTCAACACTTAAAAAGTCTAAGGCAAGCGAAGAATTGGCACAAGGCATAATGTGAGACCGCTGGTTTATCTCTAACTCATTCATTAGATGGTCTTCTTTTCTACACAAAAACTATTTTGTAACCCTTTTGTTAAAGTATTGCTCTTCCTGTATTATAGCGAGTATAAAATATGGCTGTTTGGCGTGGACTGTGGATGTCAGAGGAGTTCACTGAGGTCTTTGTGTGTGTGCTTGGCGTAAAGCTACATCACCTGATCAGCTGTAGTGTTTACTGTGTTTATTGCTAATGTCCTCGGAGTCACTGATGTCGCTGAGGGAGCACAGGCTGCTCTTCAGGGTGCTTCCTGTTCCAGCTTCAGTCAGACCTGCAGTCAGGGACAGACAGATGTGTTTACTTCGCACACAGCACAAATCTTAAACACATCTGAGACCATCACCATCGCAGCCTATTACAAAGCTGCTCTTATACTCTTGTACACACATCCTGAAATAACTGACCTGATTTGGGACCCCTCCCTGTGGAGGTTCCCCAGACACTGGTGCTGGGTGAGTCCAGGCTCTTCCTCAGTGGTCCAGAGCCCTGAGCTGGTTTAGACATCTCCTGTCTGTCCTCTAAGGAAGAGACCATCCACTCACTGCTCTCCTCTAGATCCGTGTACTGTTGCCACACAAACAAACATTATTAATAATATCAAATGAAGCAGAAAGATTGTACACCAGAGCTTTGCACTGAGGCCCCATCACAGAGCGAGTCTCACCGTGAGCTCCTGGACCTCGTCCTTCCTCTCTGGTAAGATGCTGACGCCCCCTGCTGGTTTCTTCACCGCTCTCCCTGCAAACTGCTTCTCCATTTTTCGGGCCAGGTCATTGATTTTGTTTTCTAACAGAAACACGATTCATAGAAAATACAAGAATGTGGTTTCATTAATACGGTAATAGCTTCGTGTCTTCCCCCTCATGTTCCTCTCTTTAGCTTAACAAGTACAGTTTTAAAGCCAAACATACCATAAAATGATACACAACAACACAACTCGTTTAACTATTAAAAGATCTGATCTGATATTGATTAACTAATCAGGACAAACATATTACTTGAGGCTGAATGTTTGGTGTGAGCTGGCAGATTTGGAGAGAGGACAACTCACCTTTACCAAAGTTTCTCTTGTCCACATTTCCGTTCTGGTCTTTTTGACTCTGGAGTTGTCTCGGGTCAATCTCCTGCAGCTCGCTGACCTCCGACCACTCGTCCTCCTCGTCGCTCTCCATCTGTGCGACTGTGGTCTTGGTCACGTGACCCACTGACGCCCTGGTGTGCTGGGGGTTGGAGGACAATGAGTGCCTGGCTGAAGCCTGCCTGGCCTGGACCGGACTCGCTTTGATTTGGATGGGAGTCGCCTGGTTTAGTCGTGACTGAGGTGATTTGCCCCTCTGGTGTTTTTGGGGCTGTTCCTCCTCCGTATCTGTGTCCTCTTCTTCAGAGTCCTCGTCTGAACTGAAAGGGGGGGTCCTCAAGAAGCACAGAAACAGCTTTTTACTAATTATTCAACTGTGTGAATTTGTGAGAGAAATTTCATTCAGCTTTTTCTTACGAACTACTACAGGAAAC